AGTCTGTGCCCTCTTGTCCTACCGATGGGTGCCTGGGAGAAGAGACGAACCCCCACCTGACTACAACCTCCTGTCAGGTAGTTGTAGAGGGTGATAAGGTCTCCCCTGAGCCACCTCTTCTCCAGGCTAAACACCCCCAGCTCCCTCAGCCTCTCCTCATAGCACTTGTGCTCGAGTCCCTTCACCATCCTCGTTGCTCTTCTCTGGTGAGCAGCTCTTGGCCCAGTGCTGGTTCTGCCTGGCTGTTAAATTTTGTGTTTATGGTGCTAAAGAAAACCCAGTGCCAGAGAAATCCACTCTTGGCACTTTGCAATACCTGAGTTTTGATCTGAGTCAAATACCTGTGTTTCGGCTGCTCCTTATCAGATGAATTTGCAAATGTACTGCACACCTTTGGCTCCAGCACAGTAGCTGAGCTTGGTTCCTTGCAGAGAGAGCTCCCACATCGACAGGCAGGCGGTGCACTTGGGTGCTGCACTCCTGTGTTCTAATACCTGACACGCTTCTCTCGGCAGGAGGAACAGCTGAGGTCTCATGAAAATAAAATGAAGCAGATTGCAGAGGAATTAGCAGAGCATAAATTACATCCTGTAGAGAAGAGCCTCAAGTCAAAAGAGGCTGAAGAGTACAGACTCAAAGAACATTACCTAATATTTGAGGTAAAGGAACTTTTATCTTTTCTGTGATAAATGATACCTTGACTGATTGAGGAGGACTAAGAACTCTGGAGTGGATGCTGTGAGCCTGGGAGAGCGTGAAAGGAGAGAGGACAAGGGCTCCCAAGCTGGATGGGTGTCTTGGGGCAGCAGCAAGCCTCACTGTTTTGCACTGGAGCTAAAAAAAGAAAGAACAGACATTTCCTCCCCTCTGTGATTTCTAACCAGAGGAGAGGAAAACTGATGAAGGAAAGAAAATCTTCCTTTACTGTGTCAAATCTTGACATTTCCTCAGGTCCTAAGTAAGAAAGTGGTTCAGTTCTCAGTATGCATCAGTCTTTCACAGCAACATTAATAAAAAGCGAAGGGAATCCCTGGGAGAATTAATCTTGTTTTGCTGCAACAATTTCTGTAAATAAAGCCAAACCCAGTGTCACAGCTGATTACAGACTCTTTGAGGATGCATGTAACTAACTTTTCACTCTCTGTAAAGTCTAAACAGCATATAATTGTGGGAGAAATTGGGTATTTTGTTCCAGTGAGAGTTGAGCAGAAGATGTGAATCCTGCCACATAGGTGTCAGTGGGAAAGGACTGCTGGAGGCATTTGGATTGTTCCTACTCTTAGCCCAGACTGAGTGGGTCATTTTGTGGCTGAGCCTTAGAATCTCCAAGGAGGGAAATATTCCACCTCCCACATGCCAGGGCTGCACCACCCTTTTGTGTAACACCCAGCCTGACTCTCCAAAGCCACAGCTTCTGTCTGGTGGCTGGTTCCCTTGTCTTTGTACCAACCCTTCAAACAGTTGCTGCTGCCTCCCATTTTCCAGACATCTTGTTTTGGATGCCTGCAGAGAAGCTTCCATCTGAGCATTTCTCTGGGCTGCTTTTTCAGTCTGCAGAGAGAAGTTGTCACTTCCAGAGCATAATTTATCTCATCTGTCTTATGAGATGTGCTCTAGAAATGCTTGTTTCTCTGTGCTGACAAAGAAACCAGTATAGGCTGCTCTGAGATGTTAAGAGAAAGACTGGGTAATTACACAAGTCCTTAAAAAGATGGCATCTAGCCTTGGAATAATGGATCCAGGCAGAGACAATACCTCCCTTTATGCTGTGCTCTGTGAGGAGCAGTGAGGGTACAGCTCAGCAGCAACAAGCAGATCACTGGATAGGAAACAACAGCAAGCAGAAGTATTTGGACTAGTTGAGGGGAACTCCTAAATCAGGAAGGAGCAGATCTGTTGATCTGATTTTGCCCCCAGTATCATCCTTGTACAACCAGAGTGGCAGCCAAGATCTGTAAAAGCAAGACAGACCAGGCATTGTGCTGTGACTAAACTTGTGGGGTGTGATTAGTGGGATTCTGGGGATATAGGATGGGTTTTCCTGCAGTAGCAGAAGGCATTGCCTCTGCTTGCCACGCACACTGTGGCTTGTCCCTGTTCCCAGGCTCTCTGTTCCCTCTTTCTCTGCAGAAGAGCCGCTATGAGACATATATCAACCTGCTGTGCATGAAGATAAAGGTGGGGACAGATGACCTGGAGAGAATTGAGACCAGTTTCTTCAAGGTGGAAGCTGATGACATTGCTTTGCGGAAGACGCATTCGAGCCCTTCGTTGAGCCAAGGGCACATGTCCATCAGCTGTAAGGCAGAAAAAGACATTCTAGAGCAGAACACTTAACAAGGAACGAGTGCACAGGGGGTGAACCGGCGATGCTCTGCGCTCCTGGACTAGATTGATGAGCACAATTTTACTTAGGAAATTACATGAGCAAAACCATAGACATATATGACACGGTGATTGCTCTAGTGAAAGAAATCAAAGAAGCTTTAGTTGACACTCTCTGACAATGCTCTGGCATTTCAGTATCATCTCTTCTTCATTCCCAACAGCACCAGTGGCTTTTCTTTCCTTCCTGCTGCAGCCTGCACAACAAAGGGATATGCTGGTTCTTCAAGGGCCAGGTTGCTCTTTTCTCCACCAGCCCTCTCTCTCCTCCTCCTTCCCTCCCTGGAGTCCGTACTGATTCATGTTCACAGTCCCTGGCAGTGCAGGAAACTCAGCCGAGATGACGGTCTGTGGCACCAGCAGTGCTCCCAGAGATGGGCACAGAGCAGCAGGGAGCACATCCCTCCCCGGCGAGGAGCACCGTTCGGCACGGCGCAACAGGACAGGTGTCATGAGCTACTCACTGGCTGAGCCAGAGGTGTTTTCAGCATGGCACTTGGGAACGTCATCTGCCCACGACAGGAGAGGCCTAAAGTGCCCTGTGTCACCTTATCCTTTTTATATATATAT